ACCATGCGCCGAGCAGAGGCTAAAGCCACAGGTGCAGCCATGCGAGGGGGGTGCCACTGTGGGCACACCGCACTACTGAGAGTGGCAAGCAAGACATCTTGGCATGGACACGCGGCCTGTCGAGGGCCTGGTGCCTGCTGTGCTTCATCATTCAGGCAGGCTGGCCTGCACCCTGCGCAATGGCCGCAAAGACCTGCGACGGCAGCGCCTGCACTTCCCCACCGAGGTCGCCACTGCCGCCCGCCTGCCCTGAGGGCCCAAAGATCAGGCGCTCGAGGTCCTCACCGAGGGCCACGTTCAGGGCTGCAGCATTTGGGATCTGCTGCGGGAGCGGGTCCGTCTGCGGTGGCGGGTCCGTCGGCGGCGGCGGCGCCCCAGGGGGCGCCGTCGGCGGCGGCGGCGGAGGGGCCATGATGGCCGCGGCCTCTGGCGGGACTCCGACAGGCGGTGGTGGCGGGTACTGGCTGTCGCGGGCCCCACCCGCTGGGGGGGCGCTGGCGGCGCGGACGGGAGTGGCGCGCGGGGCGACCCCTGTGCCACCCCGGCCGCCCGAGAGGCTGCCCTCCCGCAGGTTGTGGCGGCGCTCGTAGAGCGCCAGCTCCCTGTGCGCCATCTCCAGGCGCTCCCTCTTGGCCTTGTTCCGCGCCTTCTTGCTGTAGCCCGCCCACTCTGGGTCGTTCAGCCCCCAGGCGACCTGCGCGTAGAGGTCGGTCCACTCGAACTTGGTCAGGCTCTCCCAGGTGAGCCCCTCCATCAGCACATAGTGGCCCTCCCACTGTGGCTGGTGTGGAGCGTAGCGCTTGAAGACGGTGCCCACCGCCAGCGGCTCGACCTTGGGCAGGTGCCTCAGGAGGTCCACCGCGCTGACCACTGAAATCCCCTCCTTCTTGAGCTTGTCGTAGCGCAGCAGGGCCTTCAAGTCACGGATGTCCTCCTTTGGGTGCTCCGCGTGCACGCGCGTGGCGGGTCCGGCTCTTCCTCTATGAACTCGATGCAGACTCCGTAGGAGGTCGAGTAGCGCGCACCGCAGTGGCAGTACCAGCGCTGGCCCGTCTCCCCCGCCGCCTCCTGTGCGCATGAGAGCAGCTGTGACCAGCGATCCGAGCGGATCACCGAGCAGCATCCCCTGGGATTGTCCCAGGTCTTGTTGGCCGCGCACTTGTAGTACATGTTGAACGTGAAGCCTTTGCCACGGTAGAATTGGCCCGTGTAGTCGCCCATGCGGCGGTGGGCCTCCTGCGCCGCGGTGTTGCCCTGGCACTCCTCCCTCCAGGCACGTTTGCGTCCCAGGTGGGCGTCTGCGATCCCCGAGGCTTCCAGGACGCCCCTCTTCAGCCTTCCCACATCCTCCTCCGCCTCCTTATTCGGCGCGTCGGGCCACTTCTGGACTCCGTCCTGCGCCGCTGTGCCCCTCACCATGTCCTCCTTCTTCTCCAGGATGGGCCCCGGGCCGCCCAGCATGTGGGTGCGCATGGTCTCGAATTTGAGGACGCCATAGGCCCGCGCCATGCGCTTCAGCGATTTCTTGGGGAGGCCGAGTCGCAGCAGGGGCTCGATGTCCGTGGCCTCCTCCACGGTCTTGACGTCGGTCAGCTGGTGCTCCTGGTCCTCAGCATCGATGTCGGGCTGGGGGTCGTTCTCCTCGTCACTGGGAGGTTCTTCCTCGAGGGGCGGGGGTGGCGCACGGGGCGGCCCTGGCACCACTCCCACCTCCCTCGCCATCGGGCGGCCCACCTCCTTCGCCACCTCCTCGCCTACTACTACTACTACTACTACTACTACTACTACTACTACTACTACTACTACTACTACTACTACTACTACTACGACTACTACTACTACTACTACTACTACTACTACTACTACTACTACTACTACTACTACTTACTACTACTTACTACTACTACTACTACTACTACTTACTACTATTACTACTACTACTACTACTACTACTACTACTACTACTACTACTACTACTACTACTAACTACTACTACTAATACTACTACTACTACTACTACTGCTGCTGCTGCTGCTGCTACTACTACTACTAGGACTACTACTACCACTACCACTACCACTACCACTACTACTACTACTACTACTACTACTGCTACTACTACTACTACTACTACTGCTACTACTACTACTACTGCTGCTACTACTACTACTACTTCTACTACTACTACTAATAACGGCAGTCGTATTCACAGTAATAGTAGTCCAATCAACAACAATAACATTGCAGTCGTAATATTATCAATACAGATAATACCACTCCGCAGGATACTGCGATCCATATCAATAATGCAACCAACGATAATGATACCACGCCTGCTACTAATAGTAATACTAGCACTATGGAAATTCATGTTAGTGAATCGTATTTAGTGATTCTTATACAATTATTTGAATTAGGAATGCGATTCGTAATGTTACTCCTGCTGCTGCAGCTACTAATACTGCTTCTGCTACTACTACAACTATTGCTACAACTACGACTGCGACTATTCATACTCATACTAGTGTGTATTGTACTACCATTGAGAAAGTATTTGCAGTCGTACTACCACGTCCACTACCAGTAGAATTAACGCTACCTTCGCGACCCGTAATGATAATATTACCGTCGGCCAGAATATGATTACGAAGTGCGTGATGATAAACATTTTCACTACTAGTATTCTTAACACCAGCTATGATTAGCAGTAGTAATAGTAGCAGCAGCGGAGGTAGTAGTAGTAGTAGTAAAAGTAGTAGCAGCAGTAGTAGTAGTAGTAGCAGTAGTAGTAGTAGTAGTAGTAGTAGTAGTAGTCGTAGTAGTAGTAGAAGTAGTAGTAGTAGTAGTAGTAGTAGTAGTAGTAGTAGTAGTAGTAGTAGTAGTAGTCGTAGTAGTAGTAGTAGTAGGAGTAGTAGTAGTGGTAGTAGTAGTAGTAGTAGTAGTAGTAGTAGTCGTAGTAGTAGTCGTAGTAGTCGTAGTAGTCGTAGTCGTAATAGTAACGATCGTAACACTACTCGTACCACTAATCGTACACACGCTAGTGCTACGAACTAATAACAACAACAATAATTATGATAGCAACACTAAAATTAGTACCACTGCTAATAAAACGCTTAGCGCTTAGGAAGTCCATGATACCGGAGACAAAACCCAATCATCATCCTTTTAGGGCTGAAGGGCTATATGGGGGCAATTGGGCTATAAAATAATAGAGCTCCAGGGCTATAGGGCTATAGGGTTATAGGGCTATAGGGTATAGGGCTATAGGGCTATAGAGCTATAGGGCTATAGGGCTATACGGCTATAGGGCTATAGGGCTATTGAGCTATAGGGCTATAGGGCTATAGAGCTATAGAGCTGTAGGGCTATAGGGCTATAGGGCTATTGGGCTATAGGGCTATAGGGCTATAGGGCTATAGGGCACCCCCGGGCCCCCGGGCCCCCCCGGGCACGCCCGGGCACCCGGGCACCCGGGCACCAGGGCATCCGGGCACCCCGGGGCACCCGGGCACCCGGGCGTGCAGCGAACATCGGCGGGAAACCCAACCTAACCATATGAATCGGCTAGGACCCTTACAGAGGCAAGCCCTGATTGGTGAACTATGTTTTATCATAGTACGACGTTTTCTGCTACTACAGCTATTAATATCAATCAAACGGGTACGGATAACACTTCAACAAGTACTAATCATACTAACGGCAATACCACTAATCCGAATCATGCTTATACCAAGACGACTCATACGACTAAACTTCATATTTCTATTTCTCCTACTACCACTACCACTACTACCACTACTACTACTACTACTACTACTACTACTATTACTACTACTACTACTACTACTACTACTACTACTACTACTACTACTATTAGTACTACTACTACTACTCCTACTACTACTACTGCTACTACTACTAATAATAATAACGCTACTAATACTAATCATACTAAAAATGTCAATAGTAATAATAGTAATACTAATAATATTAGTAATAGCAGTATTAATAATAATAGTAATAATATTGCAAATGCTACTAATCATATTAATAATAACAAGCATAATAATGCTACTGATAATACTAGTAACAATAATACTACTACGACTAATCATACGAATACTAATATCATTACTACTAAGAATAATAGTCATACTAATAATAGTATTAATAGTATCAATGCTACTTATATTATTAATACTAATAATACTATGATCAGTCATAACAATAATACTACTACGACTACGAATAGTCATAATGATGTTAATGCTATTAATAGTAATAATAATATATCAATAATAATAACAGTAATAATATTGATACTAATGATAATAACAATCATAATAATAACAACAATAATGATACAACTAATAATAATAACAATAATAATATTAATAATAATAATACTAATACTGATAATGATAACACTACTAATACTGATACTAATAATACTAATACTACTAGTAAATCTATTATTATTACTACTACTACTACTACGACTACTACTACTACTACTACTACTGATACTAATAGTAATAACAATACTAATAATAATACTCAGAGTAGAAAGAAGAAGAGGAGAAGGCGGAAGAGAAGGAAGAGGCGGAAGAGGAGGGGGAGGAGGGGGAGGAGGAGGAAGAGGAGGAGGAGCAGGAGGAGAGAGGGGAGGAGGAGGAGGGGGAGGATGATGTGAGGGGAGAGAGAAAGGAGGAGGGGAGGGGGGGGAGGAAGAGGAGGAGAGGAGAGCAGGAGGAGGGAAGGGGAGGGAGGAGAGGAGGTGGAGAGGAGGAGGGGAGGAGAGCAGGAGGAGGAGGATGAGGAGGAGGAGGAGGGGGGGAGGATGATGAGGAGGAGAGAGGAGGAGGAAGAGGAGGAGGAGGGGAGGAGAGGAAGGGGGAGGAGGAGGAGGAGGAGGACGAGGACACGGAGGAGGTGGACTCGCCTAAGCTCTGGACCCGCGCGGCGCGACAAGCCGCGCGGGCGTGCGCCCGAGCGCCCAGGCCGCAGATGCGCCCGACGGTCTCGCGGCTGGTGCCCTGGGCATGGCAGTGGAAATCTAGGGGGTATGATACAAAAGGGGGTGATGAGGGGTGGGGGGCAGGATGAAGAAACGAAGGATGAAAAGGAGGAGGAGGAAGAGGAGGAGGAGGAGGAAGAGGGGAGGGGGAGGAGGAGAAGAGGAGAAGGATGAGGAGAAAGGGGTGGATGGGGAGGAGGAGGACGATGACGAGGAGGAGAGGAGGAGGAGGAGGAGGAGGAGGAGGGGAGGAGGAGGAGGAGAGGAGGAGGAGGAGGGGGTGAGCAGAAGGAGGGGGGAGGAGGAGGAAGAGGAGGAGGATGAGGAGGAGGAGGAGGAGGAGAAGGAAGAGGAGGAGGAGGAGGAGGAGGAGGAGGAGGAGGAGAAGGAGGGGGGTGGAGGAGGAGGTTCAGGAGGAGGATGAGGGAGGATGGGGAGGAGGAGCAGGAGGAGGAGGAGGTGGAGGAGGAGGAGGAGGAGGAGGCGGAGGACGATGTGGAGGAGGAGGAGGAGGAGGAGGACCAGTGTATACTGGAATGTACCCTCTCTCCAAGCTCCCTCTTCATAGGCCCCTGCAAGGGTTTCATTTCCACAGGGAAGTGCCCCGTTGGGGGACAACCGTGTGAAAATCGTGAAGCGTTTCAAAACACCATTCTCAGGACGTCAACGCCACGAGTCATCTTGAGTGTTGCGTCTTGACGGTCCCTAATCGTGCCAGAATGCCACTCCTGGACTTCAACACCGCGAGCCAATGTAACCGCTGCGTCCTGCCAATCCTGAACCTTTGCAAAACACAATTTCTGGTACGTTGACCATGAGAAGCAGTGAGCAAACGTTTACAACGAATGTGCGTATCGCTACGACGAGAACCACATTTTGAAACATAATCTCCGACAATCCGTGAAGCTCTTGTGAACTTTCAAATCGGATGTGCGCGGCGCTAAGGCGAGAGCCACATTTGGAAAAGGAGCCGCCCTCAATCAGTGAATCTCTGGAAGTTTCATCTCTGCAACTGTTTGAAACCAATGTGAGCGGCGCTAAGGCGAGAGCCACATTTCGGAAGCGGCCCGCCCTCCATCTGTGAAGTTGTTGTCAGCATTTCAGTTTGAGGTTTAGAAATGGTGAGGAAAGTCTCAGTCGAAACGTCCGGCCCGCCCTTCAGACTGGCGCAGGGGTGCGACAGGGAGGAGTCATTCATAAGGAAAGGAACGCAGGAGGAGGAGGAGGAAGAGGAGGAGGAGGAGGAGGAGGAGGAGGAGGAGCAGGGGGGGGAGGATCAGGAGGAGGAGGAGGAGGAGGAAGGAGGAGGAGGAGGAGGAGAGGGAGGGAGGGAGGGAGGGGGAGGGAGGGAAGGGGGGAGGGAGGGAGGGAGGGAGAGAGGGAGGGAGGACGAGGAGGAGGAGGAGGAGGAGGAGCAGGAAGAGGAGGAGGAGGAGGAGGAGACGAGAGGTGGAGAAGGTGTAGGAGGAGGAGGAGAAGGAGGAGCAGCGACGGAACTTTTGAGCTTCTATTCTGGGCTGGGCCGTTCCGACTGCTTATTCCCGCATGTCCTAAGGATGGGGTTCTTGTTATTACTTTGACCGCGCCGACTCCTCCTCACCTCTTCCTCCTCCTGCCCCTCCTCCTTTCGTATGGTGATGGCGATCATGCTGATGATGGTGATGGTGAGGACGATGATACTAGCAATGAATGTTGATCATGATAATGACGATGACGATGTTGACGATAATGATGACGATGACGATGCTGATGCTGACGATGATGACGGTGATGGTGATGGTGATGACGATGCTGATGCTGATGGTGATGCTGATGACGATGGCGATGACGATGACGATGACGATGATGATGCGGCTGATGATGCTGTTGATGATGGCGATGATGGTGATGGTGATGGTGATGGTGATGGTGATGATGATGATGATGATGGTGGTGATGCTGATGAGTATGATGCTGATGATGATGCTTCTGATGATGATGATGACGATGATGGCGATGATGACGACGATAATGATGATGATGATGATGATGTAATGATGATGATGATGCTGATGATGATGATGCTGATGATGATGATGATGATGCTGATGCTGATGATGATGATGATGATGATGATGATGATGATGATGATGATGATGATGATGGTGGTGGTGGTGGTGGTGGTGGTGATGCTGATAAGTATGATGCTGATGGTTCTTCTGATGATGATGCTGATGATGCTGGCCCGTTCGCGCCAGGATTGCGGGGATATCTCGATCGGTTTGTCTGTTTGCGTGCCCGGCATCCTCTGCTTTCGGACTCGATGTTTAGAATGTCTCGGGCGAGGCGCTGGTTTTCGTACCCCAGGCGGACCAGATTGCGAGGATGTCTAGGGCGGCTTGCTCGCTTTGGTGGCCAGACTCGTCTGCGTTCAGCGCAGATTGTGAGGATGTCTCGGGCAAGGCGCTGGTTTCATTCAAGGGAGGAATAACCAGCCTGACCAGACAATTGGCATTTACCAAACGGCCCTGGGCGTTCACTAAACAGCCCTGCCCTGTTTGATTCCTTCTTTGGGTGCTTTTACTAAACGGCTTCGCGTGTCGGGGTGGTTACTATCGGGGTGGATTTCCTGCCCTCTACTCAGCACGCCCAAGGGGGTGCAGCCAGCGGGCACCTCATTTCTCCGTTCGCGCCCAGATTGCGGGGAGGTCTCGAGCGGTTAAACCCAGGAGGCTCCAGGAGGTCCCCGGAGGCCCCAAGAGGCCAGAGGAAGCCCCAGAAGGCCGCATGAGGCCCCAGGAGTGGTTCCAATCCTAGGTGTTTCACATCTGTTCCTATCGATTCGGCTTCCCCGCGGGCACGAGGCCTTGATGGCTTACGTCTGTTCCTACATATTGCCCCTTCTCTGTGCTTCCTGCCCTAAATGTTTTCCGTCGATTCCTGTAGATTTGTCCTCTCCTGGGGCACAAATCCTATGAGTTTACACATGTTCCTATAGACTGTCCGTCTCCTGTGGCTCCAACCCTGGGTGTTCTACGAATGTTCCTATAGATTGGGCATCTGTTGGGGCACGAATCGGAAGGCCCCAGGAGGCTCGAAGAGCACCTGGAGGCCCCAGGAAATCACAGGATGCGCCAGGAGGCCCCAGGAGGCCCCAGGAGGCCCCAGGAGGCCCCGAGAGCCCCAAGGAGGCCCCAGGAGGCCTCAGCACGCCCCAGGATGCCCCAGGAGGCCCCAGCAGGCCCCAGGAGGCTCTAGGATGCTCTAGGAGACCACAGGAGGCCCCAAGAGGCCCCAGGAAGCTTCAGAAAACCTTAAGAGGCACCAGGAGGCCACAGGAGTGGCTCAACTCCCATGTGTTTTACGTATGTTTACATGAATTGGGCTTCTCCTGGGGCACGGATTCTTGGTGCTTTTCGTATGTTCCCATGGATTGCCCCTTCCAGTGGCTCCAATCCTAGGTGGTTCACGTATGTTCCGATAGATTTGGCCTCTCCTCTCAGCGGCGTGGCTGGCTGTATCACGGTCCAGCCTCTGTTTGAGATCCTCTGGGCCAGCCAACTAAGCGCAAGGGTTTCGCACGAGGTTTGCATAAGCACCCCTTATTCCTTGCTTCACCTTGGAGGGAGGCATCGCGTAGCAATTTCAACTCAGTCACGCTCAGCCATGCTCAGGCTACTGACGTGGTGGTAGACTCATCCTGAGCTTAGACGTACTTAGGCCCATGCGCATCGACTCACTCGTACGCTAGACTTACTCCCAGTCTGTCAATACCCAAGCCCGTTTATATTCGAAGTCTCTTGCGCCTAGACGCCTACGGCGGAAAAGGTCCGTGCGCATATCTGCACATATGGAGAGCTCCGCGCAGTAAACAATTGGTGGTTGGGCTGTGGGTGGGGGCGGGGAGAGGGCCAGAGCGAGAGAGGGAGAGAAAGAGAGAGAGAGAGAGAGAATGAGAGAGAGAGAGAAGGAGAGCGCGTATGTCATACAGAGAGAAAGCTCAAGTAGCGAATCTTCAGAAGAGAGGACAGAAAAGGAAAGGCGTGGTGTCCGCTTACCGCGCCACTTCAGCGGCATCATTGGCGGTGCGCGCACGGGGGTGGTGCGAGGGGAGCGGGCTGCTCCGACGGCGGATGGCTTCTCAGTAGACAGAGGCTTTCCAAAACAGGGCCAGGACGCTTCCAAGAGGCCTTCTTAGAAGCTGGGAAGGTTTCTAAGAAGCCCCTCTGCCTTATTCGAAGGCCCCACCCGCCTTTGCAGAAGGCGCCCCCCTCGCGCTACTTCTTTGTGCGCGCGACCAATTTGGCTTTCGGTCCATAACTCGGGCCTCATGCGGCCGCTCGGGACGCCCTAGGAACCCCCGGCGCGCTCTCGGCGAGGCGCAGCTGTGGGCAAGCACCCAGAGGCGAGAACACCCGAGTAGCCAACAAATGCCCCCGACAGTTTTCTAGCACAAGCTGGAGACCCCCCTCGACCTCCCTCCCTCCTCCTCCTCCCTCCTCTTCCCTCCTTCTCCTCCTCCTCCTCCTCCTCCTCCCCTCCTCCTCCTCCCTCGTCCTCGTCCCCTCCTCCTCCTTCTCCTCCTCCTCCCCCTCCTCCTCCTCCTCCTCCTCCCCTCCTCTTTCTCCACTTCCTCCTCGACCCCCCTCCCTCCTCTCCTCCTCCCTCCTCTTCCTCCCTCCTCCTCCTCCTCCTCCTCCTCCTCACATCCCTTCCTCCTCCTCCTCCTCCCACTCCTCCTCCTCCTCCTCCTCCTCCTCCTCCTCCGTAGCCATTTTGGCTCAAGATGATTTCGCCCCGTGGCAGAGCACGGAGACCCTTGGTCCAGGGACAGCTAAGGACACGCTTTCATATCCTCGCCTTCCTGCTGCCCAGCGGGTTGAGCTTCATATTTGGTGCTGCATCCGCCTGCAGACACCTTCACGCGCAATACGCAGAGGCTGGCGCGGGCCTCAGATCGCCGACATGGGTCCTCCTGGAGACTGCCTGGCCAGCGCTGCATCGACCCCTCGTGACGGAGCCACCGACCCTGTCA